TAGCAGTAGTCGTAGTCGCGGTCGTAGTCTCTGGATCCGAGTACTCTGTCAGGCGCGAGCTGAAATCGCCCCTGACAGCCTGAAAGCTGTTCAAAGGGATCATGGGACTTAGTCATTAAGGTTATAGATTCCAACTTAGAATTTAGAGGTTTAGGGTTTGGGCGTACTAAGAAGGTAACTATACTTATGTCGTCTTATAACCTATGTTGTCTTATAACCTCAACCAAGGTACTTGTAAGGCTAAGTCCTATGATCCTCCAAGTGTTGTCTCACCCTGGCACTACGCTTGCGGTTTCAATATGCGCAGCCGGCCGGGCAATTTTCAAGCTACGCGAGACAAAGGCCTGCAACCCAGGGTTTGCGGGCGTCGGCTCGACCCGAAACCCTAAACCGTAATTCGACATAAGGCTGGGGCCTAAATAATTACCAATACTATTTTGGTGGCTCCTTATTATAGTGATAGCAACCGAAACCCTATTCTAATTATTTAGGCCCTACAGTATTTCTACTTAGGTGGGACCCGGTGCAACATTGAAGGGAAACTGGAACCTCAAGTGAGGACCAAAGGATCTCTAACTTGAGCCTTTCTATCTATCAACCGTAAACCCTCAACCCTAAACTCTCCTTTAGGGTTTAGGGTTTAGAGTTTAGGGGTTAGGGTTTAAGCCTGAATCCTACACACCCACCCAACTTCACCCTAAACCCTAAGCCGCTCAAGATCCGTGGTTGTTCTTTGCTGCAAACCTGGCCTACCCCCCAGCCATCCTGTGCGCTGAACCTAAAGTGGCTTGGGTTTTTTGGTGTAGGATTTAGGGTGTAGGGTTTTAGGGTTTAGGGTGTAGGATTTAGGATTTAGGGTGTAGGATTTAGGGCTTAGGGTTTAGGGTGTAGGGTTTAGGGCTTAGGGTTTAGGGTGTAGGATTTAGGGCTTAGGGTTAGGGTGTAGGGTTTAGGTTTTTTGGTGTTCGACATTTGTAGAGGTCAAGCCACCGGACAGAGAGCTGCCCGGTGTCTCAGGGAAACATCTCAGTCGGAAGCCCTTATCAGCCTTCATCGTGCATTTAGCTACTATAGGGGCCTGGATGATTACCAATTCGATTTGTTATTCTTCGAGGGTGGGTTCCTTATTATAGATATAGTATAATATACCCCAAAACCCTGTTCTCTTTACTGAGGCCCCTCTATTATAGACTGCCGTGCCGCAGCGTTCCCAAATTAAGAGACACGGGGTCTCCTGCAAAGGGGGCAAGCGTGTAGCGGGCCATGGCGCAGAAGAGCCTCAGCTGCATTAGGTAGTATTCTTAGGGGTACCCCTTAAAGGGTACCCCGGCTCTCTGAAAAGGGACCTTATTGAGAGGGCCTATATCCCCAAGGGTCCCCCTAATCCTAGCTCCCATGCATGCAAGAGCGGATCAAGGAACAACTCCTGGACACCAATGAATCCCAACCCTAAGCTAGGATTTAGGGTTTAGGGTTTAGGGTTCGGTTTAGGGTTTAGGGTTTAGGGTTTAGGGTTTGGGTAGGCGTGTCCTTTGTTTCAAGGCCCTTCTCTAAACCCCAGGCCCATGCAAGTCTAGACACGCCTCAACCCTCAAGCCCTGTAAACCCCTACACCTTAAACCACGAACCCTGAAGTTTATCAAGTCTGCTAAATCCTCAAGCCCAATCATTGCCACCTGAGCCTTAGTAATGGTTCTATATCGTTGCTAGACGGAGCGTTTGCCCTTAGATCTTGGGGGTTTAGGCTGTCAGTTGCTCGAGGGGTTTAGGGTTTGAGGGACTGGTTTGAGGCCTACAGCTTAGGGCTTAAAGGGTTGGGAAGCCCCCTTTTGCTTGTCAGGCACTTAATTGGAGGTTCGTGGGTATGTATAAGTGCGGTTAATCGTCGCTTCATACGGGTTGTAATTATATAGGTACCCCATTTCTGACCCCCGTTAACTACCCGTGAACCTCCAAGTAGTTGTATGAGTAGCTTGGCATGTTAGTGCGGCTGATCTGCACTGTTTATGTCTGGCGGTTTTTGCAAGACCTTGCTGCTAAGGTCAGTTGCAACAAGTCTTCGTTGCAGGAGTGAACGAGTTACCCTGCAACTGTGTGGCCTGTAACTTGTATAATAAGCTTGACTCAATCCCGAAGCCCTTCAACCCCTAAGCCCTAAACCCTAAACCCCCAACCGTAAACCCTAAGCCCTAAACCCCTGACCTCTAAACCCAAAACCCCAAACAAAAACCAAACCCTAACCCCTAAACCCTAAACCCTAATCCCCATACCCAAACCCTAAACCCCAAACCCCTACACCCTAAACCCAAACTCGACACCCCACAGCCCTTCGAGGGAACATCAGCCTCGAATCTCTGAGCTCTGCCCCAAAACCGTCTAAGCCTTTCATGGACCATATAGGGGGCGGGGCTTTAGGGATTTAGGGTTTAGGGGTTGAGGGTCTAGGGTTTAGGGGTATAGGGTTTAGGGCTTGGGCGAAAATGAGGTGTTCGGGGTTGTGGGGGTTAGGGATGTTCGGGGTTTAGGCTGAGGTCAGCAGAAGGAAGATCCTCTTGCTGAGGGTTCCATGTTAGGGAGTGCTAGGCTCCCTACTGTTCTGAAACGCCCATGTGCAGGCCCATGAACCCTGAGCAAAAACTTCTCAAACCCTAAACCCTAAACCCTAAACCCTATGGGTCTAAAGGAACCCTTAAAGGAGCCCCTAAACCGTAAATCCAGCACCCTGTGTAAGGGCAGATGCGGAAGCGGAGGCTGCGACATCGCCGGACTCCCCCGGTTCCGAGGCTCCTTCTGTGTTGATAACTCAGGAGTTTCGGTGCCTACGGGGTGTAGGGTGCAGGGTTTAGGGTTTAGGGGTTTGGGGTTTAGGGTTTAGGGGTTTAGGGTTTAGGGGTTTAGGGTTTAGGATTTATGGGTTTAGGGATTAGGGTGTAGGGGTTTAGGGTGTAGGGTTTAGGGTGTGTATACAGTGTGAGCGCGGTGGATGCGCTTTTTTACTTTGTAAGAAGACTGACGCACCCACTAATCGCGCGCTTGTGTCAGCATGCAGTCCCGCCCCAACCACCCCAACTGTTCTCAATTGTGGTTTAGGGCTCACCCCCCGAACCCTCCTCCAGGGGGTCTTTCTTGCTCTCTGCTTCTCCTCGCAGCTCTGCAGAAAATGATGGCAAACCACAGCCGAGATGAATTGGTGTCGGGTTGTGGGTCCTCGCCGCCTGTGCCGGCCGCTCGACGAGAAGCACGGGTCAACAAACATTTCGTCCCTCGCACCCTGTCAGGGTTGCTCGAAGTTCCCAGCGACGGCCTGCGTGTTGAACTGAGTGTAGGAAGCTGCCGCTTGGCCACGCGGAGGGTGCGACCGGTCAGGGACCCGAAAATGGCAGGCCCCCGCGCAGGGCCCGAAAATCTGCATTTGTTGGCCGTTTTTTTTTTGCCCAGGTCTGCCAGCCTGGGGCCCCCGACCACACCCGAAAAAGCACAACGACATCAATGGTCGTGGGTTCGGGGTCCTACTTTCCGTCCCCGTTTACCGGGAGGCTTTACTCTGTCGGCCGGGGACCTCGGTCGGAGCCTCGAGCGCCCATGCAAATGGTCAGCGGCGCTCTCGGCAGTTTGGGGTTTAGGGTGTAGGGTTTTATATAGGGTTTAAGTAGCGTTTAGGGTCGAGGGTTTGTAATATAAATATGGGAACCTGATCAAGAAACTCTGGGTCTTTGTTCGAGTTCCTCATATGGATCCGAAAAAAGCATCAGGAGTGTCAATCTTGAATAACCCAGAGAGCCCAATGCCCCTTGATTAAGGAATTACATGTTAATGATCATTAAGGCCCCAATAATCTAAGGTAAATTCCCTCATTTTTGGGCTCCCTCGGAAGTAAGGAATCATGAACCCATGACGGCTCCCAGTAGCCGTGGTGTCTCCTTTGATGGTGTAGGGTTGAGGGTTTACGGTTTAGGTTGAGGGTTTAGGGCTTGTAAGGTTTAGGGTTTAGGGTTGGTAAGGTTTGATTAGGGGATGTTCATTGAATTGAGGGTGCCGGATTTCCGACTGGTTTTCTAGCATTGGGATTTCGGGCTCGTCTCAGATGTGGGGTCTTGGACGTATAGTTTATGCCTACACGCTGAACCTCTGAACCCCAAAGCCAAAGAAGGCCGCACGCAATCTGAGTTGTTGAAGTTTCGCGTTAAGAGACCTCGTAACCAAGCTCAAATGCATGCAGTCATGCCAAGCTTGATGCTTTGGGGCATAAGGTTGAGGGTTGCGGCTTTTCTGGGTAGAATTAGGGAGACCCCTTAAAAGGGACCCTTCTAAACCCTACTCATAGCTTTCTGAAAAGGGACCTTATTGAGCGGTTCTCTATCCCCAAAGGTTCTCCCAATCCTAATGCCTAGGTTTAGAGCTTTGGTGTCAGGGTTTCGGCCCAAAACCGTAAGCCCTCGGGCCACCGTACAGCTCCAACACCCTACCAAAGTGTAAACCTTTAAACCCCTAAGCCCTAAATTAACCCCTAAACCCTAACCAAGCTCTAGGACCCTAAACCCCCACACCCCTAAACCCTAAACCCGAAAGACCGTAAACCCGAAGGTCTTAAAGCCTGAGACCCTAGAAACCCTAAACCCTTCCTACGTCTAAAAGATCTCGGTCCTTGTCCCTCTCTGGATTGAGGGGCACTATTTAAGTGACCACAGAAGATATATGCATAGCAAAACCATGTTTTCGGTTTTGTGTCCGCATTCGATCAAAGCCTGTTTCGGCGTTTCCTTGAGTCCAGAGACGAGATGGGGCGAGTGTTGCTTCGGATGCGAAGTCCGAGACCCTAAACCCTTGTAAGTTTTCCACAGCGAGAATCAAGGGCTTAAGGTTTTGCAGCGTAAGTCTAAGCTGCGAGAGGTTTTCCTCACAGCTTTGCTTGCAGCTAAAGCTGCTGTCGAACTGCGTCGCAAAGCCCTAAACCCTAAACTTGAGCTCCCAACACTAAGCCCAAAACCGCACAGTCGCAGGACGTCGATCCTGATGTGGAGTCGGCTCTCGAGTATCTTCAGATGCTTCAGGCATGAAGCTCCAGCAAACATCACTATCCCAGACCCCCAAAACAAAATCTAGGGCTATAGGGCTTAGAAAGTAGACCCCGTAATTTGGGAATCGAAGGTTGCTAAAGGATTCTTTGCAGGAGCCGCGTTCTGGGATCGGAGTTTTGATCCTCCCAGGGGTCTGCGATACAGGCATGTAAGCAGGCAGAACATCGGGGCCTTAATGATTCAACTAAGCTTTCGGGTTAAAAAATACTATACCCATAGGCCCCATAGTGGTTCCTTTTAGTGGTTTGTATTTAGGATCCTATTAGGTAATCCCAAAAAGGAGCTACTATGGGGCCTATGGGTTGCAAGGAACCTTCAGCATAAGATTGGTAGCTACAATCTATATACATGCGCAGTGTGCACATGCACGTGTTCCTTCGTTGTCACCCCTGCTACACATTGTGTATTTGTGCTGATGGTCAGACAAGCACACACGCATACCTGCGCATGTATGCACGCACACAGGCACACCATGAAACAGACGAACAAGCAAACACAACCAATCCATCAATCAATCAATCAATCAATCAGTCAACCAGTCATTATGATCATCATGCAGAACGAAAGCACTATCGGCAAGCAACAAGATACAGGTAGCACGCGTACTTGGTCAGTTGGCCTTAGGATGGAAGCTGTGATACTGTTGATGGACAAAATCCTGCATGACCCAAATATAGTATAGTACCATAAATCCCATAGTTTAGGTATATAAGGTCATGCAGGATTTTGTCCATCAACCGTACCACTCATCACAGGGAGCTTTGCCGCACTAAGGTCCTGATAAGCCCGAAACCCTGAAACCCTCTGTTCAGGGTTTATAGGGTTTAGGGCTACCCCTAAACTAAACCCGAAGCCCAATCCTACCCTCAACCCCAAAACCTGAACCGGCACCTTGTCCTTGGAAGGAAGGCGGCATGTTCGCTGGCAAGGAACCGCTCTTGGCAAAGATGCAGGTCCTGCCCTTAAATCCCTAAACCCTAAAAAATTCTAAACCCTAAACCCTAAACCCTAAAGGGTACCATAGGGTTCCTGTTAAGGGTTCCTTCAAAGAGTACTTTAGGATTCCATTCCTCGTCAGGGTTCCTTCAGGGTTTAGGGTTGGAGGTTGAGAGTTCAGGGTTTAGGGTTTCCCCACATGTCGGAGCGGTCTTAGCGCAGGGGGTCTGGGGATTGAGGGTCTGGGCTTGGGGTATTTCGGGTGTAGGGTTTAGGGTTTAGGGCTTCGGGTTTGGTGAAAAGGGTTTAGGGAAAGGCTTTGGGGTTTAGGGTTTAGGGTTTCGGGTTTGGGGTTGGAGTGTTCCGGGTTTAGGGGGTCTTGGAGTGAGAGCTAAGGGCTCTACTGCCCTATGAAGGTTTCTCATCCCTAGGTACCTGTTTTCGCAGCCTGTCTGCTGCCCAAATGTGGCGGAAAGGTATGCGGCCGGCTGCATCATACAGGGTTTGCACTGAATCCCCTTTCAAACACATAACAAAACCTGACCCTAAATTCGCGGAAAGGGGCGTGAGTGGGGCAAGGAGGGCAACCGGGGGGCTTGGGCCCGGTCAGACTCGCGAGCACAGAGTAGCTGCCGAGGCCCGTTTTGGAGCCCACGTTCATGACCCACAGGGTCCGTCGAATCTGCACCATCGACATGAGGGGTGGAAAAAATCTCAGCAGCCGAAGCCACA